AAATAAAATCTTTATAAAAAATAAAAAAGATTTTATTTGTTTATTTGAGAGAGTGGGGGGTGGTGGGGAGGGTGAGGGAGAGGAGCAGAGGAAGAGGGAGAAGAAGACTCCCTGCTGAACTCAAAGCCACCTGAAGCCTGATATGGGGCTTGATGTGGGGCTTGATCCCAGGACTCTGAGATTATGACTGAGCTCAAATCAGATGCTTAACAGACTGAGTCACCCAGGTTCCCCTTTCCTCATCTCTTCTTTAATCAAAGAAAGTAGGTTGAATGGGTTTTGGGGTTCTTAAATATGGTACCATATTTCACAGGAATGATAGAGGCCATTAAGAAAGAACTTCTTCCCTTGGGTCCCCTGGTCAATAATTCTCTCATCCTTTCATACTAACCAAGTGAAGACCAGTCAGCTTTCCCACACTCATCCTTCTAACTCTCTGTGCAAATTGTTTTGTCCTGCCTCCTCTGATCTCCTTTTATCTTCAGTCTTCCTTTGGCTAGAGCCTTCCCTTCAGTCAAAACTCAACAACAATAAAACAAAACACGACTGTGTTCAGGTCAAACCTTATCGAGAAGAAAATCTCCCCTTGACTCTGCTGTTTCCTTCAGTGCCGTTTTCTATATGAGTCGTCCACTCCATTCTCTGTTAACATTGTTTCCTCCCTAATCCTCTCTAATATAAGTCCACTAAAATGACTCTCAGAAAAGGGCACCCATGACTCCGAGATGCCAGAACCCATGGTTTCTGTCCAGTTCTTTTCCCACTTGACATTGCGAGGACATTTAGTGATCTCCCTCTTGAAACTCCCTTTACTGCTTTCCCCAGCGCCACTTCCCTTGGTAATGGATGTGAAGGAGGAAAATGAGAGCAGGAGGAACTTATAGACAACTCTTTCCTGAAACTTGGCTCCACATGCGAGGAGAGACAGGGTAGTTCTGGAAGGGAATGAGGGGCTTAAGTATATGTTGGACTTTTACAAACAAGAATACAGTGACTTAAAATATCCAGTAGAAAAGGGGAGGGTAATAACATCTGAGGGAGAATAATGGCTGGAGCCAGACTCAGAAGAAATAGGAAGTGATGCGATTCAAAGCTTGGGCTGAATTGGCTTGAGGTAGAAGAAGTACTACCTTCACAGAGGCGGGCAAAGCAACAGACCATAACGTTACTCCTAAAATTGAGTTTGTAGTTGTGCGCAGGAAGTTGAAGGATCTCCTGTCCTCTGTCACAGAGTCTCTTCGTTTTCATAGCTCTGGCTCCAAGCTTAGTATATACACCAGACACTTAAGAAATATTTAATTAAATTAAACTGTAGGTGGGTAAAGGGAAAATGAGCTGGGAAACATATTCACTGGGCCTGGGAAAAAAGAGGAATTGGACAGGTGTTTAGAGCCTTACCTTTGTGATTTTTGCCAAGTTAACTGAATTTAAATGTCTGGACCCTGTAGCCCACTATGCTGAGTACCATAAGTGTTAGAAAGGCCAGGGCCAGGCTGGAGACTATCTTCTGAGCAGGAAGGAGTCACTGGTAGTTTTTGGAGAGGAGAGTACTGTGATCAAAATCCTTTGAGATGGGGCATCTGGGTGGCTCCGTCGATTAAGCGGCTGCCTTCGGGTCAGGTCATGATCCCCTGGGATCATCCTGCTGAGCAGGGAGCCTGCTTCTCCCTTTCCCTCTGCTACTTACCCTGCCTGTGCTCTCTCTCTATCAAATAAATTAATAAAATCTTTTTAAAAAAATCCTTTGAGATGATTAACTTTTGTAGAAATTTCCTGATTCAACCTCATTAATAAGAAGTAGACCTTGATCATTAATTTATGTTTAAGCCCTGTGCACTTAAAACATCATCTTTCTGTTGACCCCTGTGAATCTCATAACACATTTGTTTCATGTGAACTCTGAGGCATTTTAACACCATTTTTAAGCAGCTTCTTCCTGGATTCTCGAAGTTACTTAACTATCAATCCCTGGAAGGCAAAGGTAGTATTTTATTCATCTTTGTATCCCTGTAGTAGCTGATACAGTGAGGCAAATCTGGGGTAAAACCTATGAAGCTCCGAGTGTAAACACTGCCATTGACTATGTGACCTGCTCATTCCCAGCCTGGTCCTAGGTCATTGGCACCTTTCCCCTATTTCCCGCTCTGCCCATCTGGCGGGTGTGATTCTAGCTGAACCCTGAACAAATGAGTCGTATGACACTTCTGCCTCATGAGCCCAGAAGTCACTGTAATTGTGGGTGGGACGAGGCTGTAGGACTGGGGGTCTGAAGGTGTCCATCCAGCGAGGTTTGCAGACATGTGGACAGGTGGAGGTGCTGGGCTCATTTTCAGGAATCCTGCCTGGGGCTTTAAAATGGCTAGTGTTGACTCTGAATTTTTCCAAGGAAGGTTATGAAATGTTTGCTCCTGAAGGGGTTTTAAGCTAGCTGCAACAATGGGCTTCCCTGTTTTCTGTAATTTATTATTCACCTGAGTGCAGGGGATTGGATTAGCTGACTTCATGTTGTCCTTTCCAACTCCAAAACTGCATGAAATTGGGTACATGCTGTGCTACCTTCCTGGGGCCACAAGATAGGCGACTCCTTCCCCCACTTCAGTGGCTGGGTCCCAGGCTATCTGGCTGACGGAGGAGCTAACCAGAAGCTCAGGCAACATTCAGGCATGTGTTTGCCCACATGCAGGAAGGTATTTGGTTTGCATTTATGAAAACATCCCTTTGTTTTGCCTTAATTCCAAAGAAACAGAAAGGGAGGCAAATAAATACTCCAGACCATTCATTGCAGCAAGAGGTCTTATTAGGTTAAATAACTTAGGAGACTTATCCTGGGCACTGGGCATTTGTAGCCATGTGATGCCAACAAACAAATCACCCGAGCAAGGCAACCATGGCAACAAAATGCAGTGCACACTGTAACAGCACAGTCGACACTCTTGGGCTCCTGGGCATTCCCGGCAGGTGGGAGTAGCCAGTGGGGGCTTCCATCAGGAGCTAGGACTGAGGGCGGCAGCCAGAAGAGAGAGGTCAGCTAGTGCAGCCACATGTGGTCAGGAGTCAAAAATGGTGTAGACATTGGAACTATTTCAGGAAAGGGGGTGGTTCTGAACCTTCTCTGTGCAAGGTAGTAAAGAAAGCTTTGGTTCAAGAGTCCAGAGACCTGAGTTCAACCCCAGCAGTGCCACCCAATGATTGACTGACCTTGAGCAAGCCATCCTCCCTGCCCCCACATCCCAGGCTTTGTAAGTATCTCTAAAATGAGGATGGAACAATGTGACCTCCACAGTCCTGTGTAAAGCTAACACACAAGCAAACAAAAAGCTTCAGGCACAAGATCGGCATAAACTCTAGTACTGGGAATTCAGTGAAAGCAATAAGAAAACTGCAGGTAGAAAGATAGAAGTAGGGGAAGAGGGCTTCTGACTCAGAGATCCTGGTTTCCCATTGCCAATAGGTAACAAATTGCTGCAAATGGTAGCTTAGAACAACACAAATTTATTATCTTATAGTTCTTGAGGTCAGAAGTCCAAAATAAGTTTCACTGGGTTAAAATCAAGGCACTGACAGAGCTCTCCTCCTCTGGGGGAGAATCGTCTCCTTGCCTTTTCCAGTTACTAGAAGCAGCCTGCATTTGTGAATTCATGGCCCTTTCCTCCCTCTTCAAATCCAGCAGGGTTGCGTCTTCCAATTCTGAATTCAGCTTCTCCTGCATCCCATTTATAAGGACCCTTGATTACATTGGGCCCTCCTGGATAATAATCTAGGAAACTCTCCCATTTCAAAATCCTTACCTTAGTCACACCTGCAGAGCCCCTTTGGCCATCCCAGAGAGCGTATTACAGGTCCCAGGAGTTAAGATGTGGACATCTCTGGGGGGCCATTATTCTGCCTACCATATCTACCAAACAAAAACCTCCCGCAGTGTCCTCATTTCAGAGAATGGTACCCCTGTGCACCCAGGCCCCCACCCTGCCACCCAGCCAGAACGTCACCAGCCAACCATGGCAAATTGGTCTCCCTCACCCTCCACCTGTATCCCATCCATCAAGTCCTGAGAGTTCGATCTCCTAATAGCTCGCTAGTTTGTTCTCATCACCTCCACAACTATCACCTTACACTAAGTCACCAACATCACTTCCCTGGAGCTTTCTATCTGTTCTCTCAGCGTCCACTCTGAGTTCTCCCCAGCTCATCCTCCACCAATGCACCCAGAGATTTAAAACCCAAAATCTGGTCCATGTCTCACCCCTGCTAAAAACTCTTTATTGGCTTCCAGGTACACTCAGAGGCAAAACTCTAAAAGATGTAGAAGGCTGTACATGACGGGGCCTCTGATCATGCCTTAGCCTCACGTTCTGCCTCTCTCTTTTACCTTTTAAACTTTACCTTCACTGTGGCCAACTGTCAGTTCTCTGAATAGGCCAAGTTTTCTGGTGCCACAGGCCCTTTGTGCATGCTCATCCCACTCCCTGAAATGCCCCTGCCCATGCCTTTGCCTCTTTGCCTTTGGACTTCAATTAAAGCATTGCTTCCTCAAGGAAGTATTTCCCAACCCTGATCCCCTCCCTGCCTCCAATATTAGATAAGATCCCTCTGTCAAATGCTTTCCAGAGTATCCTGTGCTTTTCTTTCATAATACTTTCCACAGTTTGTAATTTAATGTTTGTGTGATTATTTGTTAAAATCTGTCTCTCCTACTTTTTTTGTAAGCTCTGTGAAGGCATCTATTTTACTCACCATTACAATTCTGTAAGTGGAGGCCTTATAAACATGATCATCACCCCTGCAAACAAATACTGGTTGAATTCCATGACTGCTGTACCTTTCTTCTCAAGCTCCTGTGATCCCTGCTGGGTGGAAGCCAACCCCACAGAGTTTACAGATGGCTGGAAGTGAGAGCAGTCAACTCTTGTCACTTGTCTGAAATAGGACTTCTGGTGACAGGTTCTCAAGCTTGAAAAGACATCAGAATCGCTCAGGAGCACATGTTAAAAGTGTGCTCCCAAACTCCACCTCCAGAAGCTCGATTTTTGGGGGCTGAGATAGGAATCTGCCTTTTAGTTAGACCCCATGAGATTCTCATGCAGAGAATCCAAGGACTACATTTTGGGAAATTCTCATTTATGATTCTTCCAAAGTCCGATTCAGATATCACCTCCTCCCCTAACTCCTCAGACAGAACTGGTCCTTCATCCTCTCTACTCCTAGAGTACTTTGCCCACATCTCAGCGGTAGCTCCTACCATATGTTTATCCCCAAACTAGCTTGAGAACTCTTTGAGCACAGGGAGGGTGTCTTATTTACCCATGTGGCCCCAGGACTCAGCACGCCTGTCATGTAGTACATGAAACCTCACTCTTGATATCTGCACCTATAACCTGTCATCCCACTGTGTCCCACATTGAAGGAAGTGATAACATTGTTTACCCAGTTGCGCAGGTAAAAAACCTCAGGGTCATTCTTGACTTCTCTCGCTCACATTGCCACCTCCGACCCATCAGCAAATCCAGCTGGCTCTACCTTCAAATGTCCGGAATCCAACCTCTTCTCACCACTTCCCTGCCACGCATGCCGGCTGGTCTGTACCATCTGCTCTCGTTTCCACTCCTGTCACTGCACAGACTGTTCTCTACACAGCAGCAAGGATGTACTTTTTTTTTTTTTCAGAATGCACTTTTAAAACCATGCCTGTCTGCTGCACAAAGCCCCAGTGATTTCCCATTTCATTCAGAAGATAATCCAAAGTCCTTACCGAGACCCATAAAGCCTCACATGATCCGCCCCCTCCGTCATCTCCTCTCGCTCTGCCTGCACTGTTTTTCTTACTGTTCTTTGGACACATCAAGCTCACTCCTGCCTCAGGGACTCTGTACGTGCCTTAGGACCAGAGTACCCTGTGATTTTCTCCCTCGCTTCATTGGGGTCTCTGAGATCTCCCACCACAGGGAGATCTAACGGAGCCAGTCACCTTCCCTCAAATCACCCTGCATAACCGAAAATGAACACCTTTCTTTTCTCGACCAAAGACAGTAATCTCCAAAAATGATAGCGGTCAGAATGGGGTAGACATGGTCAGAACTATTCCTTCTCTCTCTTGACTTGCCTGGGGCCCAAGACAAGCATTTCTACCTTCCATGTAGAGACAATGTGCTGGCAAAACCTTCTAGATTGAAGACAAGCAAGCCAACCTCAGGACCAGGAGGAATGACAGCCATCACTCATGGGGTTCTCTGCATGTCTCCATGCTTAGCAGCTCTGTCTTTGGTAGTCCTGAACATAGATATATTATAAATCCTTGTTTCCATAGGACTTCTTGGGCCTACTTTATATGCTGAAGTTGGAGACATGGTGAAAGTTCACTTTAAGAATAAGGCAGACAAGCCTGTAAGCATCCATCCTCAAGGAATTAAATACAGTAAATCCTCAGAAGGTAAGAGTAATTTAATATCCCCAGTATCAGACATTTAAAACCATATTTTTAATCACATGTTAGAGAAATCTCCTTTCCTTCAACTGGTAATTATGAAAGTTTTTGCCTTTGTAAGTTTCAGAGAGAAAAATGAACAAATTCTGGAGTCATCTAGACCTCAGGTTTTCACTAGGTTCTTGCTCCTTAACAGTTGGATGGGCAAATTACCTAATCTTTCTGAATTCCAATTTATTCATCTGTAAAATGAGAACAGTAATACATACACATTGCAAAGTGGTTTAAAGCAAGGGGTCCACAAACTTCTCTGTGAGAAGCCAGATAGTAAGTATGATTGGCTTTGGGATCTCTGTTGTAACTAGTCAACTCTACCTTTTAGTACAAACACCATCACAGACAATGTGTAAGTGAATGAGTATGGCTGTGTCCCAGTAAAACTTTATTTACAAAAACAGACAGCTGGCTGTATGTGGCCCACGAACCGTAGTTTGAAATAGTGACATAAGACTAACCTGACACATAAAGCTCACTTAATAAGTGGTATTTGGTGGTGGTGGTAGTAGAAGTGTTATTAAAATTTTGGACAAAGTGAAATGGTTAAGAACATAAGCTTTGAAGGCAGACTTAGGTTCAAATTCCAGCTGCATCACCTCTGGTTCTATGAACTTAACATCTCTGAGCTTCAGTCTTTCATCTATAAAATGTGAAGTTATACCCACCCTGTAAGATTGCTTTGAGGATTAAAATGAGACCGTTTAGGTAGTGTATAAAATATGATTCCTAGAACATGGTAAGCCCTCAATAAATCACAATGATGATGATGACAACAATGGCAAAGTTCACGAAGATGAAGGTGACAAAAGTGACCACATCAGCCACGTGGGAGTAAGTACCTGTTGTTGACCTTGTTCTGATTATTTCCATTATGCTGATGTTCAGACCACAACAAGAATAGTGGAGTTCTCTCAGGAGCTGATATAAGGAGATTGTATCCATATTGTAATAGATATTAGTATAATAACAGTTTTAAATAACTTCAGACCTTTCATGACTCACAGATCTTCTTTTTCCCATATGTTACAGCCATCATACCTTTGAAGGGGGCAATTGTGGTTTACAGTTCAGGTTCTGGAAGTAGACTGCTTGGTGCAAATCCTGGCTTACACTTATTAGCTGTGTGACTTTTGAAAAGTTACCTAACCTCTCTGTGCCTCATCTCTCTCATCTGTAAAATGAGAATAAGAATCATATCTACCTCATATGAGTTTGTTGTCATGAAATCTTTGGATAATGCCTAGCATATAATAAACTCTTGATAGATATTAGACATGATGGTGAAGTTGATTCTTCAATCAAAATGTGTTCCAGTTATGTTTAAAATTTTTAAGTGTATTCAGATAATTTCATATTTACCTGATAATTTATGGATTACAAAGTGACTTTTACATTTATTATTTTTTGTGTAAATTAGTAGTCAAACTCATTCCAACTAAGGTATATATGACTGATAATAAGTTAATGAACTACCTTTCCAGGAATATTTGCATTAGCACTTAATCTTTGGCTTGAGGAAAAACAATGAAGCATTAACTGAAATTTCAGGCATCTTAAAGGGCCAATTTGGCAAGACTCTGAGTAGCATGCATAGGAGTCTCTCCTATGTCCCTAAAATCATACAGTAGCATAGCAAACAACCATTTAACCTACTTCCGAGGCTTCTGGGCAACTGCATCAAGAATTCAGCGTGTAATGCCAGAGGGAAGAAACCCCAAAATGTCACATCCAGGTTCCATTTCAAATGTGGGAGGAGGTAAGTTTCGTGGACTTTGTATTCCAGCTGGGCTGTTTGCATGGGGAATGAACCTTGCAACATTACCCCCCTTCCTTTACTCTTTATTTGTTCCTGCACTCCCCCACAGCCAGTCATCTATGAGAAACTGTTTAAGATGCTCCCGCCGCTTCCACTAGTCACCTAAATCTGAGAACGGTAGATACAGATTGGTGGGAAGTGAAATTTTATTTTGGAAATGAGATGCAAACCCTATCTATTTAAGATAGAGTGCCCTATGGTAAAAGAGAAGTCTTCTGTTCATTTTAGTGTGCCCTCTGTGTTAAAATAAGGCATCTTCTTCTTGCCTGACACTCACCCTGGCCCACAGCCATCCTCTATGGTTTGAACTATTTGGGGCAGTGTGGAAATCAATTAACCACATTCTGAGGCCAGCTACATGAGAATCCAGATTCCTTTTTTGCAGAGGTAGGTGTTTGAGAGATGGATGGTGGGAGATTGAGAAAATATACTAGGCCTAAGGCAGGACTCAATCCTTGCCCCTATGGCTGCTTGATCTAACCAGTCAATGATCCAACCTTGACAGCAATCCTACTTCTCTGGGAATTAATCCTTGAGCCCCACCAGGGATGTGGAGACCTACTCTCATCAGCTAGAAGGAAAAGATAGCCATGGAAAGAATGCTGGCTTTACAGCCAGAATGAGCTGGCTTTAAATTTGGGCAATTTGGGGCAATTTTCTTTACCACTAACCTTTAGTTTTACATCTGTGATATGGACATAGCAATTCCTGCCATCGAAGGCTATTACAGGGATGAGTCATAATATATGTAAAGTTCTTGGCACATAGTTGGTACACAACAATGTTAGTTGCTGTTGGTGTGGTTATTTCATGGCTCTTCATGGTGCAGGCGTTGAAATTTGTTTTCAGTAGCTGAGATTGAAGGAAGTCCTTGGCCTTGAATAGTGCTCATCATTTTATTTGTACTCGAATGAAATAAAACTCTCTCATAGAATTTAGATGTCGAAATGAAATAAAATTGCACAGAAAACCTCAGTTATCCAGAGCACAGAGGAATGAGTCATTTTGAATCATTACATTTTCCAGATAGTTTGGGGTTTACTTCTTTAAGTGTCTGAGATATATTTTAATCACTCCGGATATATGTTATATTTCCCCAGACTCTTTAAAACGGAGGATGAGAAGTAAAACTCTAACTCTAAAACTCTCTTCCTAAGCCATTACTTCTAATCTGTGAGATTGTACAAATGTTAGAATTATATGCAGTCTAAGTAAATGACTTGAAACGAAGGTCTATATTATTGTCTATGGTATTGTCTATGGGTAAAGCCCTGAGCTTTCATTCGTGTTTTTTTGTTTTTTTTAATATCTATTTTGCTTGCCCAGAAGTCTTGTTGCTTTTTTAAATTCTTGACTATGCTTTAGTTAGTTGATGGTTGGAAATCTGAGTTCTGGCCAGGATAGATGCTACTGAGTGTAGAAGTCTCATGCTGGCCTTTCATCCATAAATTGGCAGCACCCGGCATAAATGCCAAGTTGTAGCTTGGTGTTGCCAAACCACTCCCACCTGCACCCCTCCCCAGGCATGCCTGGGAGAAACCTCACTAGTGCACAGGGCGAGGATGAGTAACCCATTTGACAGGTTGGACAAATCACGATTTGTAAAAATACAAGAACATTTCCTTTAGGCATGTATTTGATAGGAATACATTTTTAAACCAGGAAATAAAATATCTGCAGCTGTACCTAATCACTTAAACACTTTCTATCACTAAGCGTTTCAATTTGAGACTAAAATTTCAGAAACTGTAGCTTGCTTGCACTGAACTGTTGGTAATGATGCACCTTTGAGCAAATTTTGTTCTTCAGTAAGTTTTCTGTAGCTGTTTTGGTCAATTAACTTTTGAGAACTTCTAAAGGCAATGGAAAGAATGCCACTTTCCACTATAGGAATTTCCTATGATGTTTTGACAGCTGGAACAATGGAAGCATCATGTCCAGGAACATCATTTTCTAACTTCATGAGGCCAAGAATCAGGAAGCATTGAATAAGGGCCATCATGCTTGATTCAAGATAGCTCTAGTCAACAACTTGCCATGCCAGGTCCAGTCAATAGACAAGGTTTGACCTGCGAGGGCAACTCTCCTTATCAGACCTGTTTGTTCTTTGCTTCCAAAGCTATTTTGTAACTTTCCAGAGACAATTCTTCCTGTTTATTAGCAGAGACTCTTCCTTATAAACTCTTTCTTTCTTTTTGATTTAGACTGAAATAATATTATTACTCTCAGGAAATTGTTCAAGCTTTTAACATTTCTCAACTCCTTATTATTCAGGTTATAATATTCAGATCCTTTTCATCATCAGAGTGAAAGTTCAGCCTATGGTCGATATTGATTATCCATGTCAAACTATCTATGAGGGGAAGAAAAGATACAATGGAATCCCATGTTAAGATTTTCACTAGCACAACAGTCACAACTCAGATGCCTATAGCAGTCAGGAGGCTAATTCAATGAAAAAATATGTCCTTTAGGGACTGGGGGCCACAGAGTCACTGTCCTAACTAAAGGAGGTAGCCAGGATTCAGGATAGGCAAATTCTATGCAGGAATTTTATCCAGTGTCACAAGAGCAACATTTTAGTTGTTGTTGTTGTTGTTGTTGAAGACAGCAACTCAGATTCTTAGATAGTATCTCCATAATGTGAATGTTGGCATTTAATTTGTTGTAATACCATGCAATCTTAAACACCTGTGAGCTAAGACTTGATAACCTTGATTTTAGCCCACAGGGTCTTAAATCTTAGGAATTCAATACACTCTCAGTGAGCACCTTCTCCATGCTAGGCACTGTGCAAAGTACCAGAGATATTAACACAGATATAATCCAGCACCTGCCTTTGAGTTGCTCACATTCTGGTGACAGTAATGTGCGTGATACAAATAGTTATTATCTAGTTGGAGAAAATGAAATAAATCATACAGTGCCATACCTATTTAATTATAAATTATGATGGGTGCTGTAAAAGAAAAATACGTAGCACAATTAGAGATCAGGAAAGGAGTAAGCTTACATTTAAGGTGACATCTAAAGGATGAGCACACATTTATCCAAAGGAAGACAAAGAGGTGGAACACTCTAAGCAGAGGAAGTGGTATCTGTAAAGACCCTGAGGTAAGATGGAATTTGGCTTGTTTGGGGAACTAAAAGTTGGCCCAAGAGAGGGATACATAGTAAACAAGGGGAAAAGTCACACACAATGAGAGTGTAGAGAGAAGTAGGGTGGTCCATATTAAGAATTTTGTGAGAGAAGAAGCTATTTTTAGGATTTTAAGCAGGAATATGACAAAGTAAGATGTGGAGTTTCAAGGGATTATTCTGTATACAAGTTGGGAAATGGATTGGGAGGGTACTCTTGTACCAGAATCCCAGTGACCAGTTAATAGGCTAATTCTGGAGTCTAGTTTTATCCTAGGGTGATGGCATTAGAGACACAGAGAAGAGTGCAAACTTGGGATATATATTTTGGGGGTAGTTGGTTGCTGTTGGAGTACAAAATGTGCACAGCTTAGAGGGTATGGAGGGAGATGACACTGGATAGGTAGACTGGAAAAACTCATGAATTACTTCAGCCTCCATGATAACAAACTTGGACTTTATCCTAGGCTCTTGAAAGTTTTGCAGAATGAGTTAACACAGTTGGATTTGTGTTGAGCAAATAGTAACCTGATTCACTCTCCTGTCAAGACTTTATGGTCCCGCTGTAACTAGTCTTTTCCATATACCATCACTGTAATCACCATCAATAAATTGTCAGCTTCTAAGAGCATTAAAATCCATCTTCATTTCCTATCTGTAAGGCTGATATCATGACTATCATATTATTTAAAGTTTGGTTGTATTCTTTCCCATACATATAAAGATGATGCTCTGTCCTATGGAGATATGTCAGTAAATCTAGATATCTCTACCAACTCTTCTATCTCATGGCTTCCATGCTCAGAACCTCATGTGGTATAGTAATGCATGTTGCTGCCATGCCTGAATGCCTCATTGATGATGGATGCATGTGCCTTATTTCACACTCCTATCTGGAGAGCCCAAACATATGTTGATGCTGTGCAAGCTCACATGAGTGTGAGTGGAATTGATTTTCCTGATGATGTGCAATTAGACAACAGTAGCTAACATTGTTGCAATATAAAATATCCTACATAGAAATTTAGCATCTCAGACTTTGACTTCTGGAAATGAGGGATCAGATTTACCCTTTTGCTTAACAACTAGACAGACAGACAGACAAAATACATGAAACAGCAGTTGTCAGATACTGAACAACAGACAATACAAGAGAATGCTCCATGGGAGAAGAATAACAAGTGAGGTGGGTCCTATGTGTACCCAAGCTCACTGCATAGAGAGGGTTTCAAGGGCATAGCATAATGAGGGTGAACCCAAGCAGAGCTCAATAGTCCTTTGAGTTAAGAAAACAGAGTTTAGACTTTTGGTAGGCCAAAGTGTCTGGATTTGCAGGACAGAATCCTGAAGAGGATGGTACAGGCACAGAGAATGAGTTCTTGAGAATCTATGCAGAGGTCTTGTCAAAGTCTTTAACTAAGTGCTAATCTGCACATGCATGTGAGGAAAATATTAAAAGTAAGGAAAATACCACCAGAAAGTAACAGGCAGAATAGTCCCTGGACCACACACATAAAAATAGTTTATGTTCCCATCATCAAACATGGAAAGACCTCCTAACAAATGGGCACTGAGTAGAGATAGAATCAACAGAAGGTACAGGAGTTGGATAAAAATAGTCTAGACTGCAGACTACTCAGAAGGTGACAAAGCCTTAAAAACAAGACTTGAAAGTATCAAATCAATTCCATGTCTCTTAACTGTTTGCCAACATAAAATACTATTTACAAGAATGGAACAAAATCCAGCAAGCAACATGTAAAACTCACAATGCTAATAAAAATTAATAAGCATTAAAATAAGCAGGAAAAGTACTACCCATAACCAAGAAAAAACTTAATCAATAGAAACAGATCCAGAAATAAAAGAAATGATAGAACTGGCAGGCAAAGTCATTAAGACAGCTATTATAAATATTCTTCATATGCTCCAGAGCATGATGAGGAGAGAAATAGAAGACATAAAAACACATAAATGGAAACTTCACAGATGAATATAATAGCTGAAGTGGGAAGTACACCACCAGATGAGATTAACAGCCTTGTAAAAGAAAATATTAGAGAATATTATATATAGCAATAGAAACTATCCAAATGAATCATGAAGATAAAAAGACTGAACAAAATTAACAAAGCATCAGTAATCTATAGGACAATATCAAGTGATGTCACATATGTGTAATTAGAATCCTAGAATGGGGAGGAACAGAAGAAATATTTGAAGAAATCAAGGCTGAAAAATTTCCAAATGTGATGACAGCTATAAACCAACAAAGGCTTGGCAAAACCAAGAAGAAGAAAAATGAAGAAAACCATACCAAGGCACATCATAATCAAGTTACTAAAGACCTGTGATGAAGAGAAAATGTTAAAAGTAGTCAGAACAACAACAACAAGACACAGAAACAAAAATAAGAGTGACAGCAGACGTCAGTAGAAACAATGCAAGCCAGAAGACAGTTAGGGATATCTTTAAAGTACTGGTGTGGAGTGGGGGAGGGCAATTTGTCCACTTAGTATTCTATACCAAGCAAAAATATCTATTTAAAATGAAGAAAAAATAAAGGCTGTCTTAAGCATAGAAATAAGAAATAATTTCTCACTAGCAGACCAGAAAAACATGTTAAAGGAAGTCTTTTAGCCAGAAAAAAAGATGATATTAAAAGGATATTTGGATCCACAATAATGAACAAAAAGCTTCAGAAATGGGTAATATAGAGAAAATTTTTCCTCATTTTTAATCTGTTGAAAAAATAATCATCTAAACTTTAAATTTATTTAATACAATTAAATATGATTTATTACAGGGTATAGTATATATGCAGAAGTAAACTATGCATACTAAACGATAGCACAAAGGCTAGGAGGGAGGAAATGGGAATTTACTATTGCAAGTGTCTTATAAGCGAAATGGTATAAGATTATTTGAAGGTAGACTCTTAACGTCTTATCTTGTAAACTGAAGAGCACCAGTAATAAAACAAAGCAAGGTTAATAAAATAATAGGGGAGATAAAAAGAAATATTCAATTAATCTAAAAGAAAGCAAGAAAAAGAAAAAGGAATAAAGACCAGATGGATAAATAGAAAATAAGAGCAAGATGGTAGATTTAAACTCAACCATATCAATAATTATATTATAAGCAAATGGGAAGAACACTACAACTAAGAGACAGATTCTAAGACTGGATAAAAAGAAATACCTTACTATATGCTGAATTTGAGAAATCCACCTTAAAGACAAAGACAAGAAAAAGTAAAAGATGGAAAAAGATATACCATACTAACTAACACTAACACAAGAGGGTATATAATGTATTATTCCACTTATATGACCTTAGAGGCAAGAAGAATATAGTGACAGAAAGCACATCAGTAGCTGCTGGGCCCAGCAGGTAGGAGAATATACTGACTGGAAATGGCACAAGGCAATTTCTCAGAGTGATAAAACTGTTCGGTACCTTCATTGTGATGGTAGCTATACAACTGCACACATCTGTCAAAATTCAGCAAACATTATACTTAAAATTGGTGGATTTTATTGTATGCAATTTCAGTAAAGATGATTAAAGGAAGAGAGGGAAGGAGGCAGAAAAAGAGAGAGGAAGGAAAGGAGGAAGGGAGGAATAAAGAGAAGAAAAGGAACAGGAAAAGAGAATGGGTGGAAAGAAATTAATCATTTGTTTTCAAAAAGCACAATCACTTCAGTAAGAATAGTTTGCATGAACCCTTCACCCCATTGTGTAAAACATTTGATCCCTTTTTTCTGATCCTGATTGCCTGCCTGTGTCTCCACTCTGATGGTCTCCCTTTCGATGTCAAATTTATCAAGCTGTTGTACCAAACAAAGGTAAATGCATCCCAAGAGAAATTCCTGCACCAGCTGATGATAGTGAAACTCACCTAATTAAATGAGGCATGGCTCACACATTTGGCTGTCCATAACACTGACTTCCCCTTCCTGACCTCACTTGCTCCATCTCTAACCACATCTTCTTTTTATTGTTGAAATTCCACCCAAGACTCTGCACTTCTTTTAATCAACAGCATCTCAGTTCCCTCTCTTCAATAAGAAAGACCAACTTGTACATCCTCCTCTCCCACCAGTCAGGCCCAGAGTATATATGGAGGTGTTAATGGTGGGTCTTTGGATACACAAAGGGCAGGAGTAAGACATCTAAACTTCAGATGGTAGACACATTTCATAATCACAACAGCAACTAGACGGCATAGAGGAGCTGGACTCCAAGGCTCTTGGACAGCTGGGATGTTCAGAAGGTGGAGATATGATAAAGCAATAAAATAGGGCTGAGGGTGGCAGAGGTAGGGAAGAAGATGTGAAATACAGAAGAAAAACAAAACAACATAGAAACAGCTCTCAGTGTACTCACATCCCATGCTAACAGGCGGTTAAATGGAAGATATCTTGTCAAGCACTATAGAGAAAATAGAAACAAAACCCATCTCATATCCTGAGATGATTTACTGATCAAAGGTGATTCAGCTCTCTGATTATATTTAAATAACAATCCTTTAGGTATCCTGGAAAATTAACTTTCTAAACCTTAACGAATATACTAGTAGCTCTCTTATTCAATTCAGATCACCATAGACCAAAGCCCTTATAATTGCATAGACACAGAAGTGGGTATATGGGAATCTTTCCAGATAATGAAGGTTCACTATAGAAAGGCGTATATAGCTCTATAGAGATCTTATGTTCCCCCAGATTTGAGGATGATGAAAAAGTTGTCCTCAGTGACTGTCCCGATGTTTTCATGACTCTTCTTCTCCAGGTGCTTCTTACTCTGACCATACATTCCCTGTAGAGAAGATGGATGATGCCATAGCTCCAGGCCAGGAATATACCTATGAGTGGAAGATCAGTGAGGACAGCGGGCCCACACACAATGACCCTCCATGCCTTACACACATCTATTATTCCTATGAAAATTTGATACAGGACTTCAACTCTGGGCTAATTGGACCTCTGCTTATTTGTAAGAAAGGTAAAAAAAAAAAAAAAAAAGAGCAACAACTAAGATTGAAATGGTAAGATGTACTATAATGGAATGAGGCTTGGGAGAATCTTGGAAACTTTTTGTAAATCAAACAAAAAGAGAAGCACAGAAACCAGATCCTTGCTTGACACTGGTATTGGAGGGTTAGAATCTTCCGGTTTCTTTGAATCCTTCCTTTGTCTCAGTCCTGGGAGACTCTCCCAAGTAAATCCCTGTCTGAGAGTATGTTCTGATACCAGGCCCATATGATGTATAACATTTACCTCAAGGCCAAGTCTTTTTGAAAGTATACAACAGCCTATACATTGCTGAGGGTACTTGGAAAGAACTTTGACTAACATAATTGAGGTTTAGGTTGGTAATATGGTATACAAACATTCAAAACTCCAGCTTCCTTTCTTATAAACAAGCTGGACACTTCGGGTGGCAGATTTTAAACATTCAATTGACTTTATAAAAAAATGTCATTGGCTGGGCTTAGGAGCAAGCGTGAATTTTCATTTTACCCCCAAATAATTCAACCATCTTTCATTAAAACAATAAGCAACCACAAGAAACTACACTGTGGGAAATAATATGATAGATTCACCCTCTGTCTATACATACACACATACATTCATAACTCACTTATTCACTACACAAATACACATTTTCATTGCCTGATATAAAAGATACTGTGATGGCACTGAAAAAAATTCAAATTTATAAAAAGCTCTTATTTCATTTTACTTTCATTTACTGTCAGCTGCCTTTCTCAGCTGTGAGAATGGATTAATCTTGACCTCAACAAATTCTCAAATGCCTCATTACATGTACAAGCAAGATGGCTGTATGAAACTTGGAGTGTACTTTGCTAACTGAGCTAAAGTACATCTTTATTGGCCTATTGACACTAGAGGAAATGAGTATTTTCACTAAAGCCTTGACAGTCACCAGATGTTTTTTCTTTGTGCCTGATCAAGTTTACCTTTAAATCCCCATTCCTCAAGGCTATGAGGTGTCAGAGAAAATACTTACTGTGGCACCAGGATTTTAATAAGCCCCCAGTCATTATTACTGGATAAAGATGCTATTTTTTTTTAAGATTTTAATTATTTATTTGACAGAGAGAGACACAGCAAGAGAGGGAACACAAGCAGGGTGAGTGAGAGAGGGAGAAGCAGGCTTCCTGCGGAGCAGGGAGCCCGACAGGGGGCTTGATCCCAGGAGCCTAGGATCATGCCCTGAGTGGAAGGCAGATGCTTAACGACTGATCCACCCAGGCACCCCAAAGATGATATTTTTTAAAGATTTATTTATTGGGGGTGCCTGGGTGGCTCAGTCAGTTAAGCATCTGCCTCTGGCTCAGGGCGTGATCCCAGGGTCCTGGAATGGAGCCCCACATCAGACTCCCTGCTCAGCGGGGAGCCTGCTTCTCTCTCTCCCACGCCCCCTGCCTGTGTTCTCTCTCTGTGTCTGTCAAATAAATAAATAAAATCTTTAAAATAAATAAATAAATAAAGATTTATAAATAAATAAATAAAGATTTATTTATTTATTTCAGAGAATGAGAGTGTGCAAGTTGGGGGAGGGGCAGAGGGAGAGAGAGAATCGCAAGCAGACTCCATGCTGAGTGTGGAGCCCGATGCGGGGCTCAATTGCAGGACCCGAGATCAGGACCTGAGCCGAAGTCAAGAGTCAGCTGCCCAACTGACTGAGTCACCCAGGGGCCCCAAGATGCTATTTTTTAAAATAAGAACTTCTTAACGTTATCATTATGATTGACTGCTTGCCTTAATTTTTTTTTTTTTTTTTTTTGCTATCTAGGAATACCTAGTGAGAGTCTTCTGTCTGGGATGCTATTAAAAAGTATGTCTTTTCTTTCATAGGCACCCTTACTGAGGATGGGATGCAGAAGATGTTTGACAAACAACATGTGCTGATGTTTGCTGTGTTTGATGAAAGCAAGAGCAGGAGCCAGTCATCATCTTTAATGTACACAGTCAATGGCTATGTGAACGGGACGATGCCAGGTGACGCATGGGCTGCATGCTATCCAACCACAGCAGAATCATCAGTGCCTTTGGTCCCATTGCTTTCCTCAAAGCCATATGGAAGTTGACCAAATTCATACTCACTATTTTTCAACTCCTAATCAAAAAGATAATGTAATCCACCTCAGTGGTTGTCAAGATTCCATCATCTGTTTTTTGGTTGTTTTTTTTAATGTTAATACTATTTTATTTAAACTGATATATCCAAAATGTTATCATTTTAACATGGGATCAATATAAGCAATTATTAGTGAGATAGTTTACATTCTTTCTCTTTATAGTAAATCTCTGAAATTCAGCATACCTTTTACCCTCATAGCACAACTCATTCCATGTTCAAGAAGTGACAACCATCTTGGACATGCAGCTCTAGACTTTGAACTAACTGTGTCATAAAGGGTTAAAACCGCCCCCCAGGGGAGTGACTTAGGTATTTCAAGGGTCAAATACATAGATGGTACATGTGCACAAATGCTGCCATACTTGGACCTTGATTCATGAGAAGCCTTGAGAAGAGATCCAAGAAAGCATTTCTAGAACATTCTTCAGAAGAGTGTATTGTTATCATTTGCCAAATTCGTGGCTGTTCACTTGTCAAAATATTTTTTTGAGAAAAGATGCATATGTGGAGAATTTTTTTCTTTCTTTTTTTTAATTTTTATTTGAATTCAATTAACATATTATGTATTATTGATTTCAGAGGTAGGGGTCAGTGATTCATCAGTCTTCTATAGAAAAAGAGCATGCAGCTTAATAAATTGGATGTAGGGATCCAAGTAGGTTTCACCTTGCCCTGTGCCTCCAGGAAGATCTCCAAAATACTAGCTCACTCTCCTTCAGTGAGTTCTGTGGTCCCTGCTGCATGGTCCATGCCTTCTTCCACAGAGGAAGCCCTACGAAATACAAATTCAAGGTTAATCCCTAGCAGGAAGGATCAACAGAAAGAATTCAAGGAAGACACTTACAGTGAAGATGAATAGATTAGGAGAAATACCCCACATACAAAAACACTATGAGCATTTCAAAAGGTGATGGATTAGTAATATCCAGTGGCATGTAGGATGTTCTCTCTTTCCATTTGCATGGAGACTATTGTGGAAAAGCAAAATCATAGCAACAATTAAGAGAAAGAAAAACAATAAATCTGACTCCCATCCAGACTTCTTCCATCGCTCTGATAGAAATGACTTAGAACCAAAGATCCTGAGGAAAAAGAATGGAAAAATGAAAACATTATTTTATTAAATAATTCCATATATCAGAACACTAAGCTTCTCAGAAGTCATTCTCTGTACTAAAAATCACAAGTGGCTTTACTTACTAAAAACAAAACTTGTCAAAAGTTGAGATCTGGGCATTATTTTTAAATTGTATTCTATTTCATTTGGCTCTATCTTCCCACCTGGGTTATTACAGATGTACTCAGATGACTCTGGTTTTGATTCAGAGTTCCAAACTTAGTCAGTTGACCTCTGTCTTAGGAGATCTGAGTTCAAGCCTTGCTCATATCTCCAGCTTAGTGTGGTCCTTGGAAGTTTATTGTCTCAATGTGCCTATTTACAAAAATGGATTAACCATTTATCCTGGTGCAGAGGGTGTTTAGGAATTTTTTTACATATAAAATAGCCTTGCCGCTGCTATAATCCTTAGAGGGGAGTGGTTAAAGAGACATTGTATCTGTGTTCTAGCAGGTGAATCATTCCTGTATATTTATAGAAGGCAAACAAAAGCAATTCATATGCAAAAAATTAATAACTTGGTCAGTGCATAGAGCCTATGAATTTAAAGTCAAAAAAGAGTAGTTGGGGCTTAAGAGAGGCAGGATAGGGGGCTGTCGTTAATAGAAACAGAAAAGTTAATGCTGTACATTTGTCTTATGGAGCAGGGTAAATTAAATAAATATGATAAATGCTAATACAGATATATTAAATGCTTAATTCAGCATAAGCATTTCTTTGGGGTAGATAAATACTTTCATCAAAACCTCCTACCTTCTAGGTTCTTGTTCGCAGGTTCTAGCTTCTTGTTCTCACTGATGATCTAGGAATCCCTGCCAGGTTACAAGGGTCTCCTAAAAAATATAAGCCCCTCAGCCTCTCTGTGGGTAAGGGACTGATTCTCAGCCCCATAACTGTAGTATCTAGTGATTATGGATCTGAAATTTAAAACCCAAACCAAGGAGGGAAGCCAGGGTTTGAATCTCCTGCAGAGCAAATTAGCATTTTCCTAGTTACTGTGAGCACAAAGGAGGAAAACTCAGCTTTTATTCTGTTTTCATTACTTCATCCATGAAATGCTCCTAGTGGCCTAGCATAATGAACACTTGTCCATTGCATTTAAGGAGAGCCTATATCCCACAGAGTAATTCATTGCCTCGTCATTTAAACAATCAACAAGTGGTTAAAGAAGCAATCAAAAATTCTTAAAGCATCTTCACATCTTTCCCTTAGGCAGAGCTTTGACATCTATCCAGCTGAGAGGATTAGACCCCTGAACTCAGCCTTATTGGAGGCTCTGGTGACTCCTTCCAGCTGAGCCCAAATTGATTCTAGATTTCATATGGCTTTCCCAGTTTTAACACTGAAAGTCCTGCCTCCTGAGAAACTCTTCAGTCCCTGGTAGACCAGGATGGCTGATGACCTACTTGGTTCCCTCCTTGGCCTAACCCTTTAGCAATCCTTGTGTTTCTGAACTAACTTTCCTCATCTTTGGGCTCTATTCTTACCTCTAGAGCACCACTCATTGCAATGAGTTGTGACTGCTTGTTTGCCCATCGCTTAGACATCTGCTTTGCTCGGGCAGGAACCACAGTTGGAGTGTCTCTACACCCAGAAACAATGCTTGATGCATAGCAGGTGCTCAGTACATATCTGGTGAGTGAATTTTTTATTACAGAGGCTGACTGCCTGTTTCACTTCCCATCTCTCTCTCTCAGATATCACAGTTTGTGCCCATGACCACATTAGCTGGCATCTGATCGGAATGAGCTCTGGGCCAGAATTGTTCTCCATTCATTTCAATGGCCAGGTCTTGGAGCAGAATCATCATAAGATCTCAGCTATTACCCTAGTCAGTGCTACATCCACTACTGCAAACATGACTATGAGTCCACAGGGAAAGTGGATCATATCTTCTCTCATCCCAAAACATTTTCAAGGTAAGAAATTCTTCCAATAGTTTTGCTTGTGAATACAGGATCTTTTCTTCCCAAGCACTAATTCCCTCATTCTCCTTTGCGCTTTCAAGCCACACATGCTCCAGACATACATGCCTTTGTCCTGAGAACAGAATTTCATTTTTCTGCCCTTAGACTTATAACACATTAGTTGGGATAGAGGAAGTGGAGAAATTGACAAAGTTTTTTTTTTTTTTTAATGAAGCAAAAGCTGGAAAAAGGTCTACTTCCTCAAAAGGAGAAAAAGGGAAGGAAGTAAATACATACATAGAGATATTCTTCTTTGGGCTTCTTAGTATTCAGCCAAAGAAAAAACCTAAGTGCTAGAACAAATCAAATATCTGCAAATTTATGGAAGCACTAAGTTATAGAAAGCACAAAAGATTTAACATGAAAAGATTATCTTTTATAACAAGATGAACACAAAACCTGGCACAAAGAGGAACCCAGTGGATGATGTTGAATAGAAAAAGCATAGTATTTAACTAGCTAAGGAGTGAACTTTAAAGAATATCGTAAGTTTTGGTAGGAAAAAAAAGTCAGCCCAGGTTGTTATGTGGTATCATATAAACAAAATAACAATTGTTCTATTATACATTGTTGCTGTAAAACTGTTGGGAATACCCCTGAAACAAATAATACATTATATGCTAATAATAAATAAATAAATAAATAAATAAATAAATAAATATAAAACTGTTGGGAAGAGCGTCTGCGTAAATAGATACCAAAATGGAAGTAAATGATATCACTATAGGAAATTATTTTCTTACCAAAACAATGTATATAAAAGCCAGACACATAAGAAAGAGACATTTTGATGAGACCGTTTTGTTTCCTGTTCACATTGAGCAACCAAAATTATATTTGAAATCATGAAATTGTCATAATACCCTTGGAAGATAGAGTCCCCAATAATAATAAAACAACAGCAACAAAACTAACATTGACATTAAGCACTATGTATATTAACTTATTTAATTTTTAACAACAATTTTATACAGTATGTACTATTATTATCTCCATTTTACAAACAAAGGGACAGATAACAGGAAAAATGAGAAATCAACAAGACTTAAGTCATAAGATTTTAAGGATCTGGAAATTACATTTTTTTCCTCTGAAAGAAACAAAGGAAATCTTTTCATGTTTTTTCCCTAACCCATCCTCTCTTTCCTTTGCTTTTAATTCTTGCCCTTTCTCTATGACACTAAAAGAGCTGCAAACCAAAATGTTCAGAAGTTTCCTGAGCAGTACTTTTACTGTTATTATTTAAACCTTCCACAAATTTATTTAAAAGATAGGCATTTTGATCAGCTGTAATTTCTTCTCTCAAATTCTTTCATTGCCTTTGTGTTCTAATTCAGCTGGGATGCAGGCTTACATAGACATTAAAAACTGTGCAAAGAAAACCAGGAATCCTAAGAAACTAACTCGTGATCAGAGGCGGCACATGAAGAGGTGGGAATACTTCATTGCTGCAGAGGAAGTCATTTGGGACTATGCACCAATAATACCAGCGAATATGGACAAGTGAGTTTTGGGGTGCTTACCACTATGTGAAGGCTCAGGGGTCTTAGATGCATCGGGTGAAATGCCATGAGTTGACAGCTCTCAAGGGTATACATGTATTGCGTTCAAGTCTTGTTGTCCAAATCAACCTGGAATTACTCTAAACTCACCATGGGAACTCAGCAGCATAAGAGTAGTAATAGTAGTAGTAGTAGTAGTAGTAGTAGTAGTAGTAGTAGCAGCAATAATATTACTAGTAATAGCGGCTACCACTTGTTGGATGCTTGTTATTGCTAAGCACTGTGTGAAACATTTCCTATGAGTTTTATTTTAACTTTCCACGTTAGAAACAGCTTTTAATTAATATTAAAAGCTGAAGAAAAGATGTCAGAGAGAGTAAGAATTTTGGAAATTCAAATAACTCTTAACACTTGAAAAATACTCAAGCTCACTCACAATAAGAGAAGTGCAAACTGAACTCCACTGAGATACTATTTTCCACCTCGCAGACTCACAAGTCCAGATGACATGATCTGTTGGCAAGGCTGTAGAAAACAAGCACTATCATACATTATTAGTGGAAGAGTAATTTGATACAGCCATTCAAGAGCATGATTTGACAATATGCATCACAATTATAAATGCATATGCTCACAATTATAAATGCATATATCCTCTGACCCAGCAATCTTACTATATAGATATACTTGTTCACATATGAAATGATGTTATGGACTGGATATCCACTGCTGCACTGTGAGTAGTAGCAAAGGTTTGGAAACAACCCAAAATGTCCATCAATAGGATATTAGTTTAATAAATTATGGTACATCCATATGATGGAATACTATACATCTGTTTTCAAAAGAGGATGTAAACACTCTCTATGTACTAGTATAAAAAGTTCTCCAAGATATGTTGTTAGATTAAGAAGTCAAGGGAGGAAAAAATGGCAGAATAGGAGGTCCCCTGCTCATATCCCTCCACAGCAATAGTAATTTGACAGCTATCCACAAACAAAAGTACTTCTGTGAGAGCTTTGGGATCCAGGTAGGAATTTGAGAAATTCCAAGATCTTGCAATGGAAGCCAAGACCAAGGATGGATATTTTGAGAAGGCACATCATGCTCAGGTGGTAGATTCACTGACAGTGCTCCCAGGTACAAACCTGGCTACAGCCTTGTCCCATTATGGACTGAGCTACAGCCCCACTTGGCCTTGGTCTTGACACCAGCATCATTTGCCAAAGGACCCGAAAGAAGTCACACCTGTCCATGACTCTGGAGGGTGGCCTACAGACCTTGGTCTGAGTATGGATCTTAAAGTGGCCCTGTAACCAGCTCCAGCCTTGGAATAGTCCTGCCAGCTCAGGGACTTTCAGAGAGTCACGCCCATCCATGCCCCAGGAGGCTGGTCTGCAGACCTCAGTTCCTCCGAAGATCTTGAAGCATCACTGTAACCCAGCTCCGACTCTCCCAATTGTAGTCTTGCCCACCCAGGGACTACCCAGTGACCTGGTGGGAACGTTCTCAAGGACCAGATGGGAGCTATACCCATCAAAAAACCTAATAACAGCCCTGCCATTTACAGACTCAACTTTAGATCTTGAAATAAGCCACTAACCCAGCATTAGCTCTACTGACCAAGGTCCTAGAGGCAGTCGCATCTTCCCAGAGACCAGACAGGATCCATGCCCACTTGAGCCCCTGGCAAAAGGCCCACTAACCACAGATACTGCTACAGGCTCAAAAGCAGCCACATGAACTTGTTCCAACTTCACTCATCACAGAGGCAATCCCAGCAGCCCAGAGACTTGACAGGAGAAGGTCTTTACCTGACAAAATCACTCAGTAAAGACTGGAAGAGGGTGTTTGCTCCTTCAAATGTACATGAACACAAGGCTGCATGAATCACAAAAAATCAGGCAAATATGACACCACCAAAGGAAACTAATAAAGCCCAATAACCTATGTGAAAGAAATAGAGATCTACAAATTGTCTGACAAAAAATTCAAAATAATCATCTTAAGGAAGCTCAGTGAGGTGCAAGAGGACAGATAGGCAATGAAATGAAATCAGGAAAACAACGCATGAATAAAATAAGTGTAAGAAATAAATAAAAACCACAAAAAATAACCAAACAGAGAACCTGGAACTGAAGGATATAATGACAGAACTAAAAAATTCAATAGAGAACTTCAATAGCAGACTTGATCATGCAGAAGAAAGATTCTGCAAACTCAAAGATAGGTAATTTGAAATTATTCAGTTACAGAGACAAAAAAGGAAAAAAAAAAGAATGGAAATGAGTGAAAAAAGCTTACAATACCTATATTCACCATCAAAAGAATTAATATATACATTATGAGAGTCCCAAAAGGAGAAGAAATGAACGGGCAGAATGCTTATATAAAGATAATGACTAAAATCTTCCTGAATCTTGGGAGGTTATAGATATACAGATTCATGAAGCTCAAAGGACTCCAAGCAAGATCTACCCAAAGATTATCCTGAGATACATGATAATCAAACTGTCAAAAGTCAAAGACAAAGAGAGAATCCTGAAAGTAGCAAGAGATAAGCAACTTGTCATATAAAAGGGGATCCCCATAAGACTATCCACAGATTTCTTAGAAGAAACATTGTAGGCTAGGAGAGTGTGGGATGATATACTCAAGGTGCTGCAAGGAAAAAAAAAAAAAAACCCTCTGCCAACAAAGAATAGTATACTATACTCAGCAAAGCTTTTCTTCAGAAGTGAAGAGATTTCTTCAGAAGTGAAGAGACATTCCAAGACAAAGAAAAGCTGAGGGAGTTCAACATCACTAGGCATGCCTTACAAGAAATGCTAAAGAGAGTTCTTCAAGTTGAAATGAAAGGACACTAAGTAACAACATGAAAATATGAAAGTATAAAAGTTTCTGATAAAGGTAAATATATAGTCAAATTCAGAATATTTTAATACTGTAATGGTGGTACATAATGACTTTTAACTCTAGTTAAAATTAAAAAAAAAACTTTAAAATAAAAGTCTAAAGACAAAAGTATTAAAATCACCAGGCTAAAATACTTTGTTAATGGATATACAATATAAAAAGATGTAAAGTGTGACATCACAAATTGGGAGGGAGTAGTAATAGTGTAGAAATTTTTATGCAATTGAATTTAAGCTGTCATCACCTTAAAATAAACTGTTAGAACTATAAGATGTTTTATGTAAGCCCCATGGTAACCACAAGCAAAAACTTCTACCTCTAGTAGATACACAAAAGATAAAGGAATTAAAACCTGCAAATACAAAAAATCAACAAATCACAAGGAAAATAGCAACAAAGGAAGAAAGGAACAAAAGAACTACAAAAAAGTCAGAAAACAATAAAATAGCAATAGTAAGTCCTTACCTATCAATGCTTATTCTAAATGTAAATGAATTAATTCTCCAATCAAAAGATAACAGAGTAGCCAGATGGATAAAAAAACTAAGATCTAACAATGTACTGTCTACAAGAGACTTACTTTAGCTTTAAGCACACACATTTGTTAAAAGTAAAGGGATAAAAAGATTTTCCATGCAAATGGTAACCAAAGAACAGGAGTGGCTATACTTCTATAAGACAAAATAGACTTTAAGTCAAGCTGTCATAAGAGACAAGGTCACTATATGATAAAGGGGTTAATTTATCAAGAGGCTATAACAATTATAAATATATATGCCCCTAACATTGAACCACCTAAATATATGAAGTAGATATTAACAGAACTGAATGGAGAAATAGACAACAATATAATAATAGTGGGGGATTTAAATACCTCACTGTAAACAATAGATAAATCATCCAGACATAAAATCAGTAAGGAAACTGAAATTGAATAACACTATAGACCAAGTGGACCTAATAGACATGTAAAGAACAATCCATCCAACAGCAGCAGAATACATATTCTTCTCAAGTGCACATGAAATATTCTCTAAGATACGTCATATGTTAGGCCACAAAATAAGTCTTAACAAAATAATATCAAGTGTCTTTTCTGATCACAGTGGTATGAAACTAAAAATCAATAACAGAACAAAAATTGGAAAATTCACAAATATTTGGAAATTAAACACACTTTCTAGAATGGTCAAAAAGAAATCTAATGGGAAATCAAAAAAATATCATGAGACAAGTGAAAATGGAAACACAACATACAAAAACTTTGGAATACAACAAAAACAGTTATGAGCGTTTATAGAAATAAATGCCTACATTAGAAAACAAAAAAAGTTCTAAAATAAACAACCTAACTTTATACCTCAGGGAGCTGGGGGGGGCGGGGAATGAGCAAATTAAACCCAAAGTTAGCAGAGGGAATGAAATGAAGATTAGAGGAAAGATAAATGAGGTAGACACTGGAAAAACAATAGAAAAGATCAACATAACCAAGAGCTGATTTTTTGAAAAGATAAACCAAACTGACAAACCTTTAGCTAAACTAACCAAGGGAAGAGGACTCAAATAGTTAAAATTATAACTGAAAGAGGAGACACTACAATTGATATCACAGAAATGCAAAGGATCCTGAGAGACTACTATAAATGATGATATGCCAACAGATTGTATAGTCTAGAATAAATGGACAATTTCCTAGAAATATACACCCTACCAAGACTGAATCATAAAGAAATAGAACATCCGAACAGACTAGTAACAAGTAAGAAGATTGAATCAGTAATCAAAAATCTCTGAACAAAGAAAAGCCCAAAATCACATGGCTTCACAGATGAATTATACCAAACATTTAAAGAAGAACTAACACTAATCTTCAAATTCTTCCAAAATATTGAAGAGGAGAGAACACTTCCAAACTTATTTTACAAGGCCAGCATTATCCTCACGCCAAAGCCAGATAAGGACAATACAAGAAAAGAAAATGATGGCTCAATATCCTTGTTGAACACAGATGCAAAAAGCCTCACCAGAATATTAGCAAACCAAATACACAGCACATTAAAATGATCATACACCATGATCAAGTGAGATTATCCTTGGGATGCACGGATTTTTCACCATGCACAAATCAATAAATGTGATCTACCACATCAACAAAATGAAGGATAAAAGTCATAATAACAACCCAGTTGATGCAGAAGAAGCAACTGACAAAATTCAACATCTTTTCATGATAAAAACTCTCAACAAGTTAGGTATAGAAGAAATGTACCTCAACATAATAAAAGCCATATACGACAAACCCAGAGCTAACACATACTCAAAGAAAGCTGTTTCTCTAAGATCAGGAACAAGACAAGAGTGCCTACCATTTTTAATCAAGATAGTGCTAGAAATCCTAACCAGAGCAATTGGGCAAGAAAAAGAAATAAAAGATATCCAAATTGGTAAGGAAAAAGTAAAATTATCTCTCTTTGCAGATGATATGATTTTACATATAGAAAATCCTTAACACTCCACCAAAAATCTATTAAAACTAATAAAAGAATGCAGTAAGTCGCAGGGTATGAAATCAACATATAAAAATTAGCTGCACTTATTCTTTTTAAATATTGTATTTATTAGAGCAAGTGAGAGAGAGAGAGCATGAGCAGGGGGCGGGGCAGAGGGAGAGGGGGAAGCAGACTCCCCGCTGAGCAGGGAGCTCGATCCCAGGACTCTGAGATCATGACCCGAGCTGAAGTCAGATGCTTAACTGACTGAGCCACCCAGGTGCCCCTAGCTGCACTTATTAAACTAAAAACAATCTATCCAAAACAGAAATGAAGAAAACAATCCCATTTCAAAGAAATAAAAATAATAAAATGCTTAAGGAATAAATTTAACCAAAGAGGTGAAAGATCTATACACCAAAAACTGTAAGATACTGATGAAAGAAATTGAAGAAGAGACAACCAAATAGAAAGATGTTCTATGTTAATGGATTGGAAGAATTAATTTTGTTAAACTGTTCATATTAATCAAAGCAATCTACAGATTCAATATAATCTCTATCAAAATTCCAATGGCATTTTTCATGAAAATAGAAAAAACAATTCTAAAATTCATATGGAACCACAAAAGATTCAAAATAACCAAAACAATCTCAAACAAGAAGAGCAAAGGTGAAGGCATCACCCTTTTAATTTCAAACTATATTACAAAGCTATAGCAATCAAACAGTATAATAATGGCATAAAAACAGACACTTAGACCAATGAAGGCAAATAGAGAGCCCAGAAGTAAACACATACATATGTAGTCAACTAATCTTTGACAAGAGCACTAGAAATACACAATCGGGAAAATATAGTCTCTTCAATAATTAATGTTGGAAAAACTGGATATCCACATGCAAAAGAATGAAATTGGACCCTTAGCTCTATACACAAAAATTAACTCAAAATAGATTAAATATTTAAACATAAGACCTGAAACCATAAAACTTCTAGGAGAAAAGGTAGGAAGAAAACTCTTTGACATGGGTCTTCCCAATGATTTTTTGGGGTATAACACAAAAAGCATAGGCAACAAAAACAAAAATAAACAAGTGGGCCTACATCAAACTAAAACGTTTCTGTACAGCAGAAGAAACAATAAAACAAAAAAGCAATCTATGAAATGAGAGAAAATATTTGCAAACCGTATCTCTAATAAGGTGTTGAAACCTAAAATATATCAAAAAAACTCAATGGCAAAAAATTTTTTAAAAAACCACCTGATTTAAAAATGGGGAAAGGTGGGCCTGACTGGCTCAGTCAGTGGAGCATGGGACTCTTGATCTTGGTGTTGTGAGTTCAAACCCCATGTTGGGTGTAGAGATTACTTAAAAATAAAATCTTTAAAAAATAATAAAATAAATTTTTAAAAAATGAGCAAAGGACCTAAATTGACATTTTTCCAAAGAAGATATATAAATGGCAAATAGATATAGGAAAAGGTGTTCAACATCACTAGTCATTAGGGAAATACAAATCATATCCACAATGAGATTATGACCTCATACCTGTGAGGATGGCTATTATAAAAAAGAGGTAACCAGGGTTGGTGAGGGTATGAAGAAAATGGAACTCTGTACACTGTTGGCGAGAATATAAATTGGTACAGCCATTATGGAAAATAGTAAGAAAGCTCCTTCAAAAATTAAAAATAGGAGTACCATATGATCCAGCAATTCCACTTCTGAATAAATATCCAAAGGAAATGAAATCAATATCCTAAAGAGATATCTGCATTCCCATGTCCATTGAAGCATTATTCACAATAGCTAAGATATGGAAACAATCTGAGTGTCTGTTGATGGATGAATGGATAAAGAATATCACACACACACACACACACACACACACACACACACACTGGAATATTACTCAGCCTTAAAAAAGAAGGAAAGAAGGAAAGCCTGCCATTTAAAACAATGTGGATGAACCTGCAAAACATCATGCTAAGACTCATTCCAGACACAAAACGACAAATACTGCATGATCTCACTTATATGTGGACCTAATTAAGCAGTATGGTGACTATAGTTAATATTTTATACTTGAAATTTGTTAAGACAGTAGATCTTAAGTGTTCTCACCACAAAAAAGAAAATAGTAACTAGGTGAGGTGACGGAAGTGTTAATTAGCTTAATTGTGGTAATCACATATATACATATATAAATCATCATGTTGTACTTCTCAAATATATACAATTTTTATTTGTCAAAATCACCTCAGTAAAGCTGGGAAAATGCAAAAAGAAAAAGTCAAGGTGCCTTTTGTTAAAAGAATAAGAGTATAAGAATATTTATATCTGCAGTCATATTTGCATACTTATGCCTTATGCATAAAGATGCTCTGGAATTATACATATGAAATTAATGCAAGTGAATATGTAGAAAATATTTAGAAAATGCAGGGAAGGTCAGGGAGGTGGGGTTGATGGGGAAAAAAGTGTGAGTGAGAGCTCTCTATTGTAATCAAAATCATTTGAATGTATTTGCTATTCAAAAAAATTTGAGAAAAAGAGCTAAAAAGGAACTTGCTCAAGATTATGTAATAATAATTGATGGAACTGAGATACGATTCCAGGATTCTGGCAATAGTGTGTGCTTTTTATTGTGCAAAATAAATGCAGAAAATGAGTAAATTCTGTCATGGAACTTCTGTTTTTGCAAACTAAGGCAATAAAGAAGACCAAGAGGAAAGGTTCTTGTTGCTGCCCCAACTCTTGTATCGAGGTAGCTACAGAAGATGGGTGGAGGTGGTTGCTTTTTAGTTGGCACTAGGATTGGGTGGATGGTAGGAGGGTGAGCCCAACAGCACAAAACTATGACTAATAAAGTAGTCAAAGCTTCCTAGTGTGGGAACATAACTTTTAGAGATTGAGAAACATCTGGGAAGTCAATAAAGTTACCATAAATTAAGTGATAACGAAGACTTGAGAAAAAATTCACAGTATGTCCTCTCCTTTCTTTTGGATAGGCATTTTCCCAGAGATATCTAAGATCTATTCTAGTGACCAGAGTGACAGGAAGTTCTAAGTAGCTGTTTCTAACCATGTCTACAACTTTATCAGTGATGGGAGAGACAAAGGTTTCCAGTTTTCCAACTAGAGAGGAGATATTGGGACTTTGCAAACCACATTAAGAATTTTTTTTTTTTTTAGAAAACTAGCATTTTAGCTAATCCAAGAGCAGAACTTCTAAGCACAAAGATTTCCTCATCCTACAGGGTCTTTACTTGAGCAAACGGTTTAATTTTTTAAAAAATTCATTTCACTTTAAGAAAATACAGATCTCTGCATTTGGATAATTTCTCAAACCAAATTGGAAAACATTATAAGAAGGTTGTCTACACACAGTACCAAGATGAGTCTTTCACCAAACGTTTGGAGAATATGAATATCAAAGAAGATGGGATCTTGGGCCCTATTATCAGAGCCCAGGTCAGAGACACACTCAAAGTAAGTAACAGAAATATAGTACCATGGGAGAAATTAAATAGGAAAGACAGTTTATAAGTACTGGTTATTTGTTTGTACTAAAAAGAAATATATGTCCATGTAGTTTTTAATTCAAATGCAACTTTAGTTTTTATGTATTTGCTCTGATTTATAGCCTACCTTATCTGAGACAATTTATCAAATTATAAAGGAATAAAACAAAGAACCAATGTAATTGAGGTGAAGGATAATATGGGGACAAAGAAAATAAAGCCATGGATAAGTATAATGAAACACATGCCTTATGCTCCTATAAGGTTGCCTACAAATTTTGTCCAAAGCTTTCTAGCATCCGAGTAAAATATGTCAGGGCAAGATTCACAGTAGTCATAAAGAAAACGTAATTTCCCTTGACACTGAGGCCAATTTATCCCATGGATCCTTAAAAAGAGGATGCTGTATAATACAGTGGATGGAATCCTTGATAGAATCCCTACAATTGATATAATAAATAAGTTGCTGGGGCGCCTGGGTGTCTCAGTCAGTTAAGTGTCCAACTCTTGATTTTGGCTCAGGTCATGATTTCAGGGTCCTGAGATGGAGCCCGCATCAGGCTCCACGCTCAGCGTGGAGAATCTCTGCTTGAGATTCTCTCTCTCCCTCTGCCCCTCCTGCACCACGCGTGCACTTTCTCTCTCAAACAAATAAATAAATCTTGAATGAATGAATGAATGAATGAATGAATGAATGAGTCACATAGCTTTGTAAAATAATGTTTGTCATTATGGCTGAGAACATAACAGTAAATACAATTGACTATAAACAAGTCATCATTGTGCTCTAGGTATGTAGTTCTCCCATGACTGGTCTCTGAGGGAGGTAAATTTAGATATGATTCAAGAACACTGAGTGTTCTTCAGACAGCTTTCCTTAAATAGATGTCACGTCATCGAGCTTCTGATAGGAACTGGGCAGCAGAGAAGTAAATGTTGCAAACTTCGGCACGATTCTAGAATGTGGGTAATCTACAGATTAAGGATGATCCAAATGCTTTGGCAATCAACCAACAGCAGATAAGATTAAGGTTTTCTTTTGAAGATTAAGAAGCCTAACTAGGACTCCCGTGTAAATAATGCTCCTCCCTTCACCCCTTTGTGGGGGTGAACTAACATATCTGCACACAAGGACAATTCTGTTCATTTAAAAATAACGAAAGGATAGAAAGCAGCCTTTCTCTGTTCTTTCCCTTCCCTCATTTCTGATTTCCCCCATCCCTTTTAGGTGCTTTTTAGCAAGTGTAAATATACCTCACTGGAAATTCAGGATCTGGCTATTTGTGTGCCCCTCAGAAGATGACACCAAGGACAGTGTCCTAGGAGATCTGCCAGGCTGGGGAAGGAGATCATGGTCTAAAGAGAAGGAACAGATCTGAAGGCAGATGTGGTCCAAGCTGAGAGGAGAGGGGAAGGGGAACGGGGATCGGTTTGGAAAGAGTGATATATTGTGAGGAAAATGTCACTTCTAAGGGCAGACTTCTCTTTCCATTTTCCATCTTACCATGTGAGTGAAACTGTCTCAAAAGTATCTGCCAGGTGACGGGGAGAGGTTGCTGCTCAGAGAAACAGAACTAGTTTGCGTGCACGCACACACGCACCCTCCAACAAGTGAATTTGCAAAGCTAACATCCTATATTAATTCTCACAATTGAACTTAAGTCCTGAAATAATGAATTTGAGTTAACTTTGTAGATCGTGTTCAAAAATATGGCCAGCCGCGTCTACAGCATTTACCCTCATGGAGTGACCTTCTCCCCTTATGAAGATGATGTCAACTCTTCCTACACTTCAGGTTTGAATCAGAATCTGCTGAACGAAACTATTCACCTCTGAGAGGCTGCCATATTTTCCTAGTGTCCTCGTTGCTCAGTAATATAACTTGTGCAGCCAGGTAGTATACAAGTAGGGTATCCTAAAAGTCGGAACCAAACCCTTCTTACTTAGGGATTTTGTTTACCCTAGTGCTTACCAAATTTGTTGGTGCCATAGCGGCCTCTAGTGGAGCAATCTCTAATGGCGACATGTAATCCAAGGTTAAGTGGAACTTGATAGAAAAATATTCCTTTCCTAATATTAATTGGTTCTAATGAGAACTCACTGTTTGTTTAATGTAATAATTTTGAAAATGAAACAATATTGACTCTATTTTCTTCCAGACAATTACACCATGATCAGAGCAGTTCAACCAGGGGAAACCTATACTTATAAGTGGAACATCCTAGAGTCTGATGAACCCACAGAAAATGATGCACAGTGCTTAACAAGACCATACTACAGTAATGTGGATGTCACAAGGGACATTGCCTCTGGGTTGATCGGGCTACTTCTAATTTGTAAGAGTAGATCCCTGGATAAGCGAGGCATACAGGTATTCTGTCCACAAACTAAACTTTTAGAAATTCCAGGAACTGCTTCAGGCTGGAACAGATTAGGTCTCCTTGCTAAATAATGGGGCCTCTCCTTCTAGAGAACAGAAAATATTATGTTGTATTCTTTAGAGCAAATGTGACATTTATTCCTTTGTGGGTTTTTTTTTTTTTTCCCTTGTCTATTTTCATCTAGATTCTTACTCTGGAAGGCCGTTCTATAGTGTGACACCATATTTTGTTTTAGTTTGAAGTTCCAGGTCTTCTGCTATGTCATCAGCAAGCCACCTAGCCTCTCTTAATTTCTTCCTTTTATCAAATGGGTAATATCCTCCTAAAAAATTTTTACAGGGTTTTTTGGGGCTCAGCAAGATACCACCTCGTAAAAGTGTAAAACTCTTTACCAGTCCTTGTTATTTTTAGAGACCTGCACTGGGAGAGATAAGAGAGATAATAGTTTGGAGACATAGAATCTGGTGAAGTTGGACCCAGACAATGGTCCATCTCTAGTGAGACTAAATTATAGAGAAAAAAGTGAACAAAGAGACAGATCTTCATTGGAGAATAATAGTCTCATATTATTAACTTAAAATTCCCAATCAGGCTAAGCTATAATCAAAGAAGTTCATCCTAAGGCATACAAAATAAATATATGCCTAGAAAAATCAGAAATGGACATTTGGAAGACCTTAATTTATTGAGCTATGAAAGGAAACAGGAAGGGAGAAGTAGAAAGCTTTCCTATTGCAACCTTCTGTTTTATCCTTTGCAACTATTTGGAGCACGTCTAGTCAATCATTCAGGTTGAAAGGTGTCTACTTACAGAAATAAAACACAATTACAGCTGCCATGTGGAGATGGAATTTTTCTATTAGGATGTTTTAGTCTCTGAATTTTCTGATCTGCTTTGTTTGTCCTTGCATATTACCTTTGGCTCTAACAAGGGCTTTGTACAAAATGGGCTCTCATAAATGCCTGAATTTGTGGCTGCAGTGGCCCCTAGACTGTGCCTCTTTGGTTTCTGAGAAGAACTCAGTGTTGTGGGTAATCAACTGGAACATTAATCACTGAACACCAAACTTTTACCCTCCAGAGGGCAGCAGACATCGAGCAGCAGGCTGTGTTTGCTGTGTTTGATGAGAACAAGAGCTGGTACATTGAGGACAATATCAACAAGTTCTGTGAAAATCCTGAGAAGGTGAAACGTGATGACCCCAAGTTTTACGAATCAAACATCATGAGCAGTAAGTCAAACCACTGTTTCTGTCCATCAGTTTTTCACTCCTGTGCTTAAAGTATGGCTGTGCATAAAGGCAGAGACATGGATTAGAATCCACTCACCTCTTATCCTCACTTGCAATCCAGGGATTTGGTGATGAAGTTACTGGGGGATACTATAGCAATCTTTTTACAGCAAGAGGCCAAAAGCTTGTTCTCCTTAAGAAGTCTTCTTGGTCTCGTGCTCTAAATGTGCATGTACGTTTATGCACATGCTTTGGGCACCTCCACTCTGGAGGAACAGGCTGAGGGGTGGGAGTGGTGAGGAAAGGGGCTACAGGCCTTGGTCAGTGGTATATGGGGATTTTAGACTGGGTGCAAGGTGAACACTCTTTATAGCCAGGGCAGAAACAAGGTAAGTAATCCAAAGCTGGAAGGTCAAATCAAATGAAGGCAAAAGGCAGATGGGGAGCCAAGAATCATAAAAAGCCAATCCATGAAGAGGTTTGAAGTGAGCAGTGAGAATCTTGTTCAGAATAGAAGGAATTCCCTAAGCCAAAGTTCAGGCATTTGCTGTGGTTTTCAATTTCAGCACCTAAAGCCACTGCTATGAGAAGTCTAAAAGAAATTTCAATAAGCCAGTTAGAAGCAAACTTTGCCACGGTGGTCAGGGTCCTCACCACTATTCCTCAGAGTCAAGAGCCATTATGATCACCTTCTCTGATAGGTAATCATAGACATGAGGATGACTTCTCCATGGTCTGTTCACATAGTTTCAGATGAGTTATTGGAATTCTCAGAACTGGCAGGTGCCCTGAAAATAATTCCAAACCGGGAGTTACTCAGTTTTCTTTGCATAATTTCGTTTTTGGCAGTGAATCTGTCATAGGTTTGGGTTAGTGAGAAATTATGTATGAGCTACATATATCATTTAAAATTTTCTAGTAGCCATATGAAAAATTAAAGAGAAATATATCCCAAATATTATCATTTCAACACATAACCAATATAAAAATTGATGAGATTTGCTTTCTTTATTTCGTACTAGGTCTCTGAAATCTGGTGTGTCTTTTGCACTTAACAGCACATCTCAATCCAGATTATCCACACTTCAAGTACTCAATAGCCACTGTATTTAGTGGCCACTGTATTAGACAGTACAGCTATAGACCATTTAGAAGAGCCTCCTGAATGAAATACAAACTAAAAACATATTGTCATTTAAGTGTTCACTAGTGCCAGGCATCATACTAGTATCAGGGCTAGAGTGGGAACGCAGGTAGAGGTGGGCCCTGTCCTCATAGAAATCAAACCTGTGATTTTATTACCATGCCTAGAACCTAAGTAAATAAATATACTGCCGAAAGCTGTGTCCCTTTGAAAGATAGTGAAAATGTGTGAACTCGATACTTGAACAAAAACTATAGACTATCTCAATGATAAGAGGGAGCAATAAAAATTGCCAAATGTGCTAAATATGCATGCCTTTTAGGGACATTACTTCTTATTCACCAGCTAATGTGTCAAGATGAATTTCTTATATTATGCTTTTCTTCCAGGTAGAATTATTCTAGATAATATTGTAAGTTGAGGTTTAGACTATTTTAAAAGCAGAATGTGGAAAACAAAGCATTTGATACACACTTGACAAATGAATGAATAAGTCAACGAGAATGAAAGGCTTTGTCTTTCTCCTGATATTTCTCCATTGGCTAACTTAGGAAAATAAGTTCTCATTTGGGAAGTCTGAGTTTGATCTAGTCACTAGGTAGACCTGGTGAAGCTTATCATAATCACTGCTTTGACACAACCAAATTAATATTGGGACATTAATCTTAGGTATAATTAGCCACACGCCCCTTTGTCGGCAGAGGCTTGCATGTTAACAGATTTTACTCTTTCAGCGATCAATGGCTATGTGCCTGAGAGTATACCCACACTCGGATTCTGCTTTGACGACACTGTCCAGTGGCACTTCTGCAGTGTAGGGACCCAGGATGACATTTTGACCATTCACTTCACTGGGCACTCATTCATCTATGGAAAGAGACACGAGGACACCTTGACCCTCTTCCCCATGTGTGGGGAATCTGTGACTGTCACAATGGATAATGTTGGTAAGAGCCTGGACACTTGGAGAGGAACCTCTGATCTATAAAGGTCTGCTGCAGCTTCCCAAACTATCACAGTTCCTGAGTTTATCTTTCTGATCCCTTACAGGCTTTCCTTTCAATACTTCTCGTGATTTCTGTTTGGAGAATTAATTACTTAAATGGGTCTAGTCCTTTAATGTGGGTTCCATTTTTCCTTCTCTGGGCTAAGTGAGAAGGAAAGACACAACATCAAAAAGATAAGGTATGACTTTGAGGAGGAAGCATGAACATTCAGCCACAAAAGAGCATTTCTTTTATCAAAATGGCCTTTTCAGTTTTTAAAGCTAGCCATGACACTGTGAGTTAGTTAGTGATCATCAGATACAGTACCTCGGAGTCTGGCCTCAGAGATGCAGTGGAAAGCATGGAAAGCACATGGGCTTTGGAGTTCCTCCAATGTGCTCTGGCACTCAGTATCTGTGTAACCTTGGACATGTTATTCAACCTCACTGAGCTTCCTTGTATTCATCTCAAAAACACAATCACACTTTACAGGGTTGCTTTGACCATTAATTGTCTTATATACCAAGTGCCTAGCACTCAGCAGACACTCAACAAGTGGTAACGATTGGAGACTCCCCAGGAAATCTGTATGCCAGAAAATAATACCATTTCAAAGAGATTCAAAATTGCCCTGGGCCCACCTGTATCACCTACTGCTTAGAAATATCTAGATGTTTCTTACATCATCCTCCCCCTCACTTCAGTTTTCAAACAAGATGTGCAGCCAACAAGATGTTTATGATATTCAAAGCCCACTTGATTCTTAATTCATCCCTTTTCAAATATATTCTAAAACAGTGACTCTTAAACTATCTGTGCTAAGAGTTTTCTCCTAATCTCCATTGATCAATACTTTCAGTCTATATTCTGTTATATGAGATAAGTGCACTGATCACATGCTTGGATGCACAGCAATGTCAGATTGCTAAGCAGTTTTATAACACCTTACACCCAATTTCTCTCCATATGTCACTATAGGAGATAATTAACAGTTCCCAGATCAGCAGTGACCCACAGACCACACTTGTTATCCCTGGCTGAAGTTCCTTGAAAATTATCTGCCACAATGGATCCTAGGGTTTTTATATCTTTTTCTGGGCTTAGAGCTCTCTGTTTTCTCTGTCTCTCTTCTGTAGGTACTTGGATGTTAACTACAATGAATTCCAATTCAAGAAACAAAAACCTAAGGCTGAGATTCAGGGATGTTAAGTGTATCCGGGATGATTATGAAGACTCATATGAGATTATATATGAACCTCCAGCATCTACAGTCATGACTACACGGAAAATGCATGATTCTTCAGAAAACAGGGGTGAAGAGGATGATGCTGACTATGATTACCAGAACAACCTGGCTTCATGGTTAGGAATTAGGTCATTCAGAAATTCATCACTGAATCAGAAGGAAGATGAGTTTAATCTTACTGCCCTAGCTCTGGAGAACAATTCTGAATTCATTCCTCCTAGTACCAATACAGCTGTTAATTCAAATTCCTCTTCCCTAAGTAACATTAGCAGGCTTATTGTCTATAACTCTGCAAAGCCTCAAAAAACTCTTCCTCACCCAGCAGCCACCATAGCTGGTCCCCCTCTGGGACACATTGGCTTAGACAAGAACTCAGCTCTCAACCGTTCAAAAGCAGAGCATTCCAGCCCTTATTCTGAAGACTCTATGGAGGATCCTCTACAGTCAGATATCACAGGGATAAGTCTACTTCCACTTGATGCAGAAGGATTCAGGAGTCAAGAACATACTAAGCATAAGGAATCCAAGAAAGGAAGAGAGCACACAGCAAAGCATAGGTTCTCCCAAGTGGGATTTTCAGCACATAAAACTGGGCGACATTTAAGCCAAGGCAACTCTTCTCCTTCCAGAATGGGACCCTGGGAAGACCTTCCCAATGATCTGTTACTCTTAAAACAAAAGAATCCATCCAAGATTTTGAATGGGAAATGGCATTTGGTGTCTGAGAAAGGTAGTTATGAAATAGTCCCAGAGGCTGATGAAGACATGGCTGTTGATAAGCTGCTGGACAGCCCCCAGAATGCCTCAAGGACTTGGGGAGAAAACATCCCTCTCACAAACAAGCACAGAAAGAAGAGTGGCCACCCAAAATTTTCTGGAATTAGAAAGAAATCTCTACAAGTAAAACAGGATGGAGGAAACAGTGGATTGAAGAAAATCCATTTTTTCATTAAAACACGAAGAAAGAAAAAAGAGAGGCTTGCACACCATATTCCTCTATCTCCAAGGGGCTTCCACCCTCTGAGAGGAAAGGCCAATACCACATTTTCAGATAGGAGACTTGATCATTCATTGTTACCCCATAAATCCAATGAAACATCTTTTCCCACAGACCTCAATCAGACATTCCTCTCTGTGAATCTTAGCTTGTCAGACTCACTTCCTTACCATAATCACAATCCCTCAAATGACACCAGTCAGACAAGCTCCCTTTTAGATCTTTATCAGACAATACCCCCAGAAGAATATTATCAAACATTCCCTAGTCAAGACTCTGGTCAAATGCACTCCACTACAGACTCTAGCCACACATCTCCTCCAGAGCTTGGCCAGATGCTCGACTATGACGTAAGAAACAAGCCATTCCCTACTGACATTGGTCAAATGTTCCCTTCCTTGGAACCTGAAGCCTGGCAGGCAACCATTTCTGCAGATCTCAGTCAACCAAACCTTTCCCCTGATCTCGACCATACAACCCTTTCTCCAGACCTCAGCCAGACAGCATTTCCTCCAGACCTCGACCAGATAACATTTTCTTCAGATCTCGACCAGACGACCTTTTCTCCAGACCTTGACCAGACAACCTTTACTCCAGACCTTGACCAGACAAAACTTTCCCCAGACCTCGGCCAGACAACCTTTTCTCCAGACCTCATCCAGACAACCTTTTCTCCAGACCTCAGCCAGACAACCTTTTCTCTAGACCTTGACCAGACAACCTTTTCTCTAGATCTTGATCAGAAAAGCTTTT